AGCCTCCAACTTCGCGATTTTCAAATTCGCCTCGATTTGCGCGATTTTTGCAGCCCATCGACTCATCTCGACGTCTTTGTCCTTTTTCATTTCTTCCCTAAAATCTTCGATTAAATTAAAGACAGTTTTTGATAGAAGCAAAGATTTGGCGAAAAACCCACAAATCGGCTTCGAGTTGGGCGATTTTCTTCCGATCGTTCATTTCGGTTGCTAAACGATTTGATGCCTACAAAATGACTGAATTTTCTCGAGGAACAAGTGAAAATTAAAGGAAAAAGCGAATAAAGAGGCATAATTGATGAGAGAAGACAAAATCAAACAAGAAATTTGTTGCCAAGCACAATAAGGACTTCTTACTAAAACGGAAACTGCTACAAAACAAGCGAGATTTGAGGCAAGAAATAGAATGAGGACGCAAGGATTTCCTCAATAATTCCCCAATATTTAGACTAAGTTTGAGGAGTGGGAAGCTCATTGCTGAGAATGATTGATGAGTTTTGTATAGGATGATTGAGACTTTGCGTTTTAGTCGATTTACATCTTGCCTAAGGCAATCACAATTGTTTATTCACCCAATGGCAACAGTTGGCTCACATCTGCCGTACAGTAAATTGAATTCAGTAAACAACGATTTACAAATGACCGGGAAATTCAAATGCTTTTTAAATTTCTAACCTACTAGCGTCATCAATACAGTATAATTACAGCAACGATCAGCATAATTCAAAAGCATACTTTTCTCTGCTATTTTTCCGAGCTCTGCTCTGGCGACTTTCCGTTACTAAAGAGATTTGGCTTTGGCTCGCAAAAACTTTAAATCAATCAACCTGCCAATGTACTCGTCCTCTGGAGACCCTTCCCCGGAGCCAGATGGAGTAAATAATGAAAACTTGGGAAATAGGAAGAAAAGAAGGAAGGGTCGTTTCGTTCCAGAAAAGGTAATTCATCATCGGCAGTTAGTGTCTTAATCCCTTTAAAAGTCAATCTGTGAATGTTCAGTGAGTACAAAACGCCGATCAACGTTCAACCACGACGACACAGCTACGTTCCCGAATATCGACAAAACCACGATCAATATGTGTAGTGTCAAACAGACAACAGACAGTAGTTCGTTGCTTTCTAGATCAAAATACACTGGCAAAGAAGGATACAACTCGATTCACTACCCGGCAATCAATGAGTGAGTGATTTGAAGCATCTGGCTCAAAAACCCAAAACTCACAGAAAGCCATCTGCTCATCTTTTGCCTCTACGTGCCAACGACTACACGGCTCCCGGGAATCCCCTCGAGAAGTTGTGAGTCGATCCGTGAAATTACATCAACCTCCCTTTCACAACGCTCTTCCTCAAACATTTGCCGAATCCCTAAGAAAAATTTTATTCGTTTCGACCATTTGCAGGGGGATCAAGCCAAATTCGGCCGATCATCTCAAGAAGAATCTGGCTCCAATTGGTGGCAGAGTGCCACCGGATGGCCAGCGAACCTTCAAGAATAGTGACATCGAATACAGCCGTCAACCGCCCGACAATCCTGGATATCGATACGTGAGGTTTGTTTGAATGTTGGAATGCCTTAGCCTATCTATTCAATCTAGTCGTCTACCCGGTTCCGGACATCGTGAAGATCGCATTGAGGGTTTCGGATTCAGAGCGGATGGGCGTCCTGTTGTGATGCCCGTCAAGTCCGAGCACATCTATCGACATTCGGATTTGGGAACACGGGGACAAGCACCGCTTAGGTGAGTTCTCCAATGCTTTTATCCAGGGGGCAAAGCAGACTATCGTTCGCTTTGCCCGCTGGCTGGTCCGGAGACCCGTGAAAGTCTGGAGATCGTAGGATCCATACATACATGCAAGTTGTACGTAGCAACAACGATATCAAATTTAGATCCACCCGAGATCTGTTGTACCCGGAAAAACGTCCCGGCGATCAAATGGGTCACATTCGACCGAGAGCCGAAGGAGGCTCCGGAAAGGTCCACAACATTTTCTCTGAAGATGGACCGGTCAGTGAAATTATTCTTGACATGCTCATTTTGACATCAGTTCAATCAAGGACCCGGCGCGAGGATGGGAGCCGGAGCTCGCCAAACACCTGGGAAGGAGAATCCCCAAAACTCGGTTTTTGTGAAGGTTGGGAGAGAATCTATCTAGATCAGACTCAAACCATTTAGCATCATTTCGATGTGGGTGCCGGAGAAAATCAGTTCCGAGCTTCTGGATTCGAGTGGGCTGGCACGTCCAGAGGTAAACTAGTAGAAATGCGTTCCGCGTTCTTGACCCACTGGCAACATTTATCGGTAGGATCGGTAGAATCGGTAGAAACCCATTGTTACGAACAACTTCACCTAAGGTTAACTAACATTTAGAAGAAGAATAACTTCTTCTAAATGTTTATTTGAAATACAATAAAGTGAGAGGAAATGGATGTCAAGGAAAGAATTTCGTGTTTTGATAAAAAGTATCAGAGAACCGGGCCTATTCATTTAGGTCAAGGAATTTAAAGTTCACGTGATTTCATTGTCAAAGAAGTTGGGGCTTACGGAGCGGCCCTTCTGGATTATCTTACTGAATCAATCGCTAGTCAAATGTCGTGTCGTGTTCTAGTTACAGAGTTCATTGAAACCAAACCAGTAGCAGAATCGGTAGAAATCTCATCGTTACAAACGACTCCACCTAGAGCTTCGGACAATTTCTTCTAAATGATTTTGTTAAGCACAATAAAGTGAGAGGAAATGAATGTGAAGAAAAAGAATTCCGTGTTTTGATAAAAAGTGATCAGAGAGTCCAGAAGGATTCGTTCTTCATTCCGTTTTTTTCTGACAATGAGTCAGGCTTACCAGAAGCTCGAAATATCTTATCAGAGAATCTGCTTCAAACTTTAAAGATACATTCCGGAAGATTAGAAGACATTCGATAGTCTTTTGAAGGCATTATTTTTGTACGTATTCTAATTGGCCATCTAATCCGTCTGGAGGGGCAGAATAGGTAGTAATAAATGTAAATTTGTCCATTCATTTGTATGCCAATTAATGTCTGTGTTTGCCCAGTTACCTTTAAGTTTATCCAGTTATATCGATAAGAATTTAAATTCTAAAATTGAGTTTTATTTAGAATAATGAAAAAGTGTTCATTTCCCTTTTTCCTTCTTGCTTTCCTTTTTCTGATGCTGTTGTGGTTGGGAAAAGTCGACTTGGGAATGTTAACTGAATGGCCTGAAATAGAAGATGATGAAGACAATCAAACGGGACATTGGGTGAAATTTTATTGCAACAGAAATACTGTTCGTAGACTACCCGAAAGCCTTACTCATTTCCATTTCAGCGCTTTCAACCCTTCTCTTAAAGAATCACTCCGAAGAACGCATGTCCACGAGAGATCCAGGCGGGATTTAACCAAAACTCTATCAATTGGCCTTTAAAACCAACCAATTTAAAACCTACCTATTTGTCATCCATTCTTCAAGTCGAAACCACCTTCATAAATAACATTCATGAATAGCCCACGTAAAGAGCCCTTTTTGCCCACGGGCCCTGGCTTTCGAGAAAAGCGCATGCAAAGTTTCGGTCATTTTCGGAGAACTCTCACCTCACCTATAAGGGAAGAAAAGCAGCGGCGGTCTAGGGGACTGCGTTAGGCTATCAAAATAATGCAATTTTTTTCTCTGGGTTCGATTCCTCTCGCCGCCCTACTTTTGGCTTTTCTTTTGCAAAACTTCCGCAACACATTTTTTTCGAGTTCCTAAAGTGTTTGCTTTTAGCTTTTTCAGTCTTTTTTTTCTTTTTGAACTATTAGGTTGAGGAAAAAGTAATGTCGGTTTTTTCACAAAACTGCCTATTGCTAAAGACATAAAAAACGCACATCAATCAATGAGATATTCTCCATTATTATTGATGGCTTGTTCCCATCTTCGTCGCAAGTCCCTGATCCCATCCTCGAAAAATGGGGAGTTTTAAAGCCAAAATAAATGTCGACTGCTTTTTTGATCTGTGCATGATTCTCGAGCTTTTCTCACATCAGAAGACTCTTCAACAACCGAAACAAAAAATAATCTGATGGGGCCAAATCGGGACTATAAGGTGCGTGGGGTAGAAGTTTCCAGCCAAGCTCGTCGATTTTTTGGTGAGTGATTTTTGCAGTTTGAGGTTTTGCATTATCACGTTTTGCAAAATAGCACTTTTGATGTTTGAACGCCCAATTTCTTTAAAGCTTCGTTAACCCTCATCAACTGTTTTGAATAACGATCAGCGGTGACAGTTTCTACCAGATTCAACAACTCATAATACACCAAACCTTTTGTATTCCACCAACAGCAAAGCATAAGTCTCTTTCCATGAATATCGGGTTTTGAAGTTGGTTGTGGGGGTTGACCTAGAGAAAGCCACTGATTTTTGCGCTTCACATTCTCATATTGAATTCATGTTTCATCAGATGTTAGAATTCTTCCCCAAAAATCATGCGATTTGCCTTTTTGAAGCAGGGTAGAGCTCACGATGACACGAATTGTTTTGACTCACGATGACACGAATCAATCGCTAGTCAATAGAAACCTCATCGCTACAAACAACTTCACCTAAAGCTTCGGACAACGTCTTCGAAATGATTTTGTTAAGCACAATAAAGTTAGAGGAAATGGATGTCAAGAAAAAGAATTTCGTGTTTTGATAAAAAGTGATCAGAGAGTCCAGAAGGATTCGTTCTTCATTCCATGTTTTCTGGTGATGAGTCGTGATTACCAGAAACTCGAAAAGTCTTATCAGAAGATCTCCCTCAAACTTGTGGAAGTAAGCTATGTAGCTAAGCTCCATAGCTTACTTCCACTCATCAAACCACAAGCCATTTTACTTTTGGCTCAATTTACGTTCAAAGGACCGATAGTTAGACCGATAGTTAAAAGAAGCCCGTCGGGTATCACTTTTTCAATCCAACCGATCTGGAATATAAATCGGCCAAGAAGGTAGCTTTTCGAGATCAAAGGTTCAGTTTCAGGCGTTCAGGCGATGAAGCCTCAGAAATGGCAAGTGAGGTATTAGGCTCGTTGAAAGATGAAGGTGGGTATTTAAAGTCAAATGATAAAATAAGATTAAAACTTTTGCAACATGAATGGAAGGCTGAGATTATTGAAGTTATTTACACAAAAGTTCGGCTTATTCTGGAAAAAGGTGAAATCATCACGGAAATCCGAAATCATCGATATTTATTCATTTATTTATTTCCAATGCATAGTTTATTCAAACATGTTTCTATCGATCTAAGGATATTTCTTTTTTTTTCTTTTCTTTAGAAATGAACAAATTTCAGTTTTGGAGCGGCCATGGGAAATGGACGGTCTGGTCTCCTACCCGACAGCTTCTTCACAACCTCGTTTCGGCTCTTTGGGCCGTTTAAAACAAGAAAAGTCTAGTTTCAAATTTATTGAGTCAGTCAATCTGCATAACCGAATAAACTTCTCAATGGTTTGAAGAAATCATTTGCTCTTCAATGTGGGCTTCGATTTGCTGTTTGAAGACACGACCGAAGACTTATAAGGATTCAAGCGCCTATCAAGTCAAATGTCCAACATACTACACATATCTATGCTACGTACTACGTCAACAAACAGAAAAATCAATTTCGAGGTAGATGAATTCTCTTTACTATCGCTAGTTCTTCTATAGATCTGCTAAATGAACTACCCGAAATGACTCGACAAATGGAAACAATCGAGGTAGCTTTAATGAGTGCCGAAGCTGCAACGAATGTCTTAATGAAAAGGGGTCTCGACTCGAATTTGTTTAAGGCTCATCAAATGTTGATGGAACGTCGTCAAGAATCAAGAAAATGTCACCAAAGCGTACAAGTATTTGCTTGAAAAATGAAAAAAATAATGGGTCAAGCATAGAAACGACAGTGACTAAAGGCCTTTATAATAGAATCAACCAGAATCGACTTTAGGTTCTATCAAAGAACTATCAGTCAAACGAATTACTTTTCACAAAGAGTCTGCTATTTCGAAAATGACGGAAAAAGGCATTACTGTGAGGAATAGCCACTAATAAAAGTTCTCTAATCTTGGTAGTCTAAATATTGGTAAATTATTGCGGAAATCCGAGTGTTCTTATTCTATTTCTTGCCCCAAATCATTGTTATTTTGTAGCAGTTTTCGTTTTCAGTTTTCGCTGAAATGAATATTCATTGTTTTTGGTTGACTAGCGATGACTAAACGAATCGGGCATTCCCCTCCTTTCTCCTTATTTGGTAAGAAATCCGTCTTTTGCTTGGCAACAAATATCTTGTTTGATTTCCTCATCAATTCTGCTTATTTAGTAGCCTTTTCCTTTAATTGTCACTTGTTCTTCGAGAAAATTCAAAACGAAATTCAGGACGTTTTTTGATAGAAGCAAATATTTGGCGAATAACCCACAAGTCCGCTTCGAGCTAGGCGATTTTCTTCAACAAGATGGCCGGTTCTTCTATGCGTTTGACACTCTTTTCAGGCAATTCTTCGGTCATTTCGGGAATTTCTGGAGATTTGGTAAAAAAAAAGGGCTGCTCTGAAGACATCGAGGAGGGAAAGGAAGATTCCAGAGATTCTACAACCAACCTCATCATCCTGATGCCTCAAGATTTTTGTGATCTTCTTTCTTTGTCTCGAGTTCGACTTGAGTTCGACGAAATTTGATCTGAGAAAGCTACTCATCCGAATCAACATCACTCAAGTTCAAAATCTCTCCAAATTTCTCATTCATTGCTTCTCAGTCTCAGTGCCCTCGATAAATTTCCTGATCATGATGCTGGTTCCAGGAGGCAAAACGGGGGCTCTCAGCTTCGAGTCTGGTAGCTGATCGTCTATTTTCTTTTTCAAGGTTTTAATGCCTTGAGCAGTCTCCGTTTTAGAGAAGTTTTGTTTAGCAATGCTTTTCACAAAAAGGTTCTGCTTTAACACAAAACAATCCAAAAAACATAGAACAACCAAAACAACAATCAACAATGATGACACCTCGAGCAGCTTTGAATTTTGAAGTTGGAGAAGTCAAAAAGGCTCTAGGAAAAATTGTTTACGCCGCGGGGGAGATAGATAGTTTCCCCCGCGGAGATTGAGGAACAATTGTGGCGACTTGATGGGAACGGTCGGTTCAGTTGACCTTCCCCGAAAGTAGTCTCCTGCTAACTCCGCGTTTTCTCACTCACTAACTTCACCCGAACTGACGGCTTTCTTTTTCCCGAAATGCTACTCTTTTTTGCACGAAGTTCTATTCGAAGCGATTCTTTCAACAGCTTAATGAGTCAATCGCTTTCCTAAACGATTGCAGAGCCCTCAAAAGCACTTTTCCGTAAAAAAACAATTGTTTATCGCACCGTCGCCTCATTCGTTCTTCCCATTTCCCCGAATTCAAAACTAATCAACCAATTCAGCGGAATGGGTGTGATGGCCGTCGGTCTATTCATCACGATTCTCCTCCTTTTCCATCAAATTTCATCGTCCATTCAAGAAAGCGTCCAAGTGGATCCATCCACGTATTCTTATCCTTTCAAATAGCTATGTTGTCAACCATTCAGATCTCCGAATGATCGAGATGAGATTCGTGATCGTCGTACTTTGAAGTTGGTCAGAAAGAGATTTTTCGATGATCTTAGATTTCAGCAGTAAAAAGGATTGTCTGGACACCGTCCTTTTGAGATCTTGTCGAAGAAATTTGTTGGTTTTTTGAGAGAAAAGCTAAATTGATAGAATAAACAATAGATGGCCTTGAGTGTCTCAATGACAAGACTTTTCAGGAATGAAACCCAACAAGAACTCGTCGAGGCTCCAGAAAAATCAGCGGACTCGAGAGGGAAATGTAGGTGAAATCAAAAATCTTGAAGAATTCAAGCTCATCTTTTTTGGATTTTGAGTAGTGAGTAATTTGAGTATTCAGCGCAAGAGAGCGGAACGAAACGAAGGACAAAGACGTCGAGATGAGTCGATTGACAGCAAAAATGGCTCAAATCGAGGCGAATTTAATGGGGAAAAATGCAAAGTTGGAGGCGGATTTGGTTGATGGACGGGAGAGCAATCGAGAATTGGAAAGGAAAATCGCCGAGACGAAAAGGAAGAACGCCGATCTCGAAGCACAATTGTACTAATTTTGTAATTTTCTTTTTGACAAGCCCAATATATAGTAAAAAGCCGAACTTTTTTCAGAAGAACTCAAAATACGGAAGCAAGAGACGGAAAAGTCAAGATTGGAGAGCTCGAAGGGAAAATCAACGCGTTGCAGAGCAAAAACTTTGATCTCGAAACCCAAATGTGAGTTTATTTGGCAACTCTTGTCGACTGAGACTTGAGAAAACAGCTTTTTCACTCCCAAAACACCCATTCCACTCAATCCAATCAATTCCTCTCTAGACAATTTGAATGGGAAAACAAAACGGCCGAAATTGTGAAGTTGCAGGCAGATTTGTGAGTTTTTTAAACTAACGATTGAGTCTTGGTCGAAAAAATCTGGAGTAAAGTTTTTCGAAGAAATTCAGAAATCGAACGATGACTTTCTTGAATCGGGATGGATGGGCGTATTTGGCAAAAACCGCTTCTTGGTACAAGGTTTGGTGGATATTGTGAACCAGGATTATCTCCATCTCAAGGTTATCGCTCAATATATAACATTCGATGAAGCCGAGGCATATTGTGCGAGTCGAAAGGGCCATTTAGTCTCAATTCACAGTCAGGAAGAGAACGATCTTGTTCGGAAACTCGGTAAGAAAGTAAAATGATTCAATATTGAAAATTCATGGTTTTCGTAGAAATTTATGCTTTATAAGCCAAAATAATCGATATTTATTTCAGCGAAAAATATTGATTCGAATTCTCACTTCTGGATCGGACTGAAGGTTGAATTTTTCTTACTGAAAAAAATAAATAACAAGAAAGTAATGATTCTTTCGGCCTTTGCCTCTTTGTGAAAACAGCTCTCAGTGAAATGTAAAAATTTTTTTATTTAGAGAAATCCGAAGAAAGAAAATGCTTTTGAATGGACGGATCGGAGTCCGTTGCAATTCACGAATTGGCGGGTTGTAGTTTCGTTGTGGGGTTCGAACGATCGAACGGATTTGAACACCCACGCTATTGTGAGATTTTCGACGTGAAATCATCAATATTTATTCCGATTTCCAATCCATAATTAATCCAAAAATATTTCGATCAATCCGAGCAAAATTTCTTTTTGTCAAATAATGCAAAGTGTTTTATCAAAGGATTTCAATCAGAAATGAACTCATTTCAGCTTGGGAGCCACAGTGGGAAATGGTACTCCAAGTCTCCTACCTATCAGCCGCGGTTTATCTGCAAAAGGAGCTCTCAATTCTGATAAATGCTTCGTGTTCTTTTTTGTGGACAAATACCAATAGATCCCATTTTATTCAATCTTCTGAAAACACACAACTGCACCTTATCTTTTTCTTTATTTCTGAATTGTTTGTTCCAAATCTCATGTAAAAAGTTTTTCCAAGAAGCCAGAATTACGCCGAAGTTGCAAGTATTTGGCGCTCTCGTCGCTCCTGAATAGACTATTAGATAAACGTGTTGAACATCAATGAACATCAGCATGAGGAAACTGACAATTCTTCGTGAAGCTCGCACTTCTCGTCCCTCAACTCGTCGATTTGTCTTTGATTTTTGTTCTCTGTTTTTGTTCTCAATATTGGTTCTGTAGGCGGAGATTTCCCGGTCGAGCATTAGATTTTTGCCTAATCTTAACGATTAGCCAAAAATTAGATAAGGTATGTATGTATTGTAGATATAATGAGCTGTAGATATCTTTATAGTCAAAAATCGAATGAAACCCCATGTTCAGACGAAATTTGTTGGATGCAATCATTTAGGTATGCACATATCATTACATTATACTCTTGCAACAACTTTTCTTGCAAAATGGTCGACTAGATAAGGTGCCCGTTAGTGATGTCAAACTGAAACACTGTCCGGCATCATGAGTAGGAGATCCGGCGAAAGAGATGCTTTTCGAAAATCCCTTTGAGTTTAACAAAGATCTCTTTTCAATCAAATGAGTATTTATTAGTCCAAATTAACTAGAGTAACGGCCTAGATCGAAAGCTCGGCGTTCCGTGGTTCGATCTTGGTTCGAGAGATGCTTTCAAACAATGATCATCAATCACTTTCTTTAGAAGTCGCAATTCATAAAGTATCCCGAATCGACGCTGTGCGGGCCGTGTTTGTGCGATTCGATTTGATAACTAAATGTTGACAGTGGGTCAAGAACGCGGATATATTTCAGAACAGAATTCGATGTGAATTTGAACTTATGGCATTTCCTGACTAGGGGCTGGCAGAACTGGTCACCATTTATGGATATGGCAATTGTAGCGAAACTTTAAACACTTTGGTACTGGATTAATTAGTACTAGACTTAGTACTAGTGCTACCAATTAGACTTACAAGGGCACATCCCAAAGAGGGTGTAAGGTTTTTAGATGGCAATGAGATGGCCTATAGGACATGACGAATCCGATGCTGTGTTTGTTTTGTTGCCCACGGGCCCCGGCTTTCGAGAAAGGCGCAAGCAAAGTTTCGGCCATTTTCGGCAAACTCTCACCTCACCTATAAGAGGGTGCCACGTCGAAGGGAAGAAAAGCAGCGGGGGTCTAGCGGACGGCTTTAGACTATCAAACCAGTGCAATTTTTCCTCTGGGCTCGATTCCCCTCGCGGCCCTGCTTTTGGCTTTTCTTTTGCAAAACTTCCGCAAAACACTTTTTCGAGTTTCTAAAGTGTTTGCTTTTAGCTTTTTTAAGTCTTTTTTTCTTTTTGAACTATTTTTGAATAAAGAAAAATTTTAAATCGACACTCATAATGAAAGGGTTCAAAAAAATGGTAAAACCAATAACAGTTGGCGCATTTAGCACACTTAATAAACGCCAATTCTGAACAATTAACTTCATCACATTGAACAATATCAATATCCAAACACTCCTCAATTAGGGTCTTGAATGGGAGGGGTCGGACGGGAACAAAACCAGAGGCAGTGTTTGTACATACCAATTTTATGTTATATAGTCATTTTCATTTCACTTACTTATGTGTGATAGCCGACGAGGAGTTGATGACTCTTTCGACAGTCTTTGCTCCAATTCGTGTGTGAAAATAATTTCTTGTATTATATTCGTTGTAGAGAAAGTGTTAAAGAAAGAAAAAGAAAGTGTTAAAGAAATCAAATTATTGGCACATGGTATACATTCTTTCAGATGTACTTTCAGATAACAAACCTGGTGCTCGAGAGTATTCGGTAGATTTCACGAATTGGAGGAATTCTAAATTCGGACACCCACGTCGAGGTGAGATTTTCATCTCTCAATCATTTATAAATTTTGTTGAGCTGAACAAGCAGTCAATTCAAATCGACAAAACCAACAAATCGAGACTTTTCCCAATTTTGATCTCCAATTATTCAAAAAAGATTTATCGTAAATGTCACCAGCAAATTGAGAGAATTCCTTTATGTAAATGAATAAAGAATCTCTTTTCAGATTGCTATCAACGGCGGAAAACGGGTGTCTCTCATCCCGACATTACGTGTCCTTTTATATGCAAAGAGGGATCTCAAATGGCTTTTACTGAGTGAGGAAACGATTAAAATGCATTTTATCCGCTTTTCATTTTTCATAAATGCACTTTGTTGTCGGATTTCTATTCAATTTCTCAATTCGAGGCAAATCGTTCAGGTTTTGAATCGTGGAATCAACTTGTTTATAAAAGAGTTGATTTTTCGACGAATCTGTTGGATCATTTCCTTATCTCCATCAAATGACTTCTCAGTCGAGAGATCATGTCTTTGTCGATAGAGGAAAAAGCTCATGTTGTGCGCTGCATCACCGCTTTGCGTAAATGTAACGCTGGTCTGTTGGTGGGACACTGGAGCGGAAAAGCATGGTAGACACGAATTGGACTGACTCCATCTGGGAGATTGAGCAAAAGCTTTGTAAACCATTTTGATTTTGCATTTTGATGGAAAGTTTTTTTTATCGACAAACATTAACAATAAAAGCAAAGTGTGGTAATCACACAAACTCGAAGTTGATCATCATGGGCTTTTTTTCGTTTTGTGAAGTTTGGGAGAGAATCTATCTAGATCAGATTCGAACCATTTAGCATCATTTCGACGTGGATGCCTGAGGAAATCAATTCTGAGCCTCCGGATTCAAGTGGGTTGATAGATCGAGAGATCAACTAGTGGAAATGTATCCCCCTTCTTGACCCACTGGCAACATTTAGATAGCAAATCGAATCGCACAAACATGGCGAGCACAGCGTCGATTCGGGATACTTCAAGAATGGTGACTTCTAAAGAAAGTGATTCATGATCATTGTTTGGAAACATCTCTCTTCATTACGAACATTTAATAACTACCCAATAATAAAGTCTTCCTTCAAGCCCACACGGGTGTCTGTCTTTTGTGATCACCATGAAGACTTTATTCTTTTTAGAGTTGTTCCTAATCTTTAGGCGCTTGAGCTAATCTGCAAAAAGCTAACAAATTGATCGCCTCTCGATCGAACCACGGAGCGCCGAGCTTCCGATCTATGCCGTTATTCTAGTTAATTTGGACTAATAGGGGCTCCTTCGATTGAAAAGAGTTCTTGGTTAAAATCAATTAGTCAGGTTTGTCTGTGAATGGAACAGAGTGATATTGTACATTATACTCTCTGGAACAGAGAGTATAATGTACAATATCACTAATATGATCTGATCGAACAAATTTCGTCTGAAAATGGGATTTCATTCGGTTTTCGACTATAAAGACATATACAGCTCATTATATCTACAATACATACATACATTATCCACTTGCTTAATCGCTAAGATTAGCCAAAAAGAGACCAAAATCTCAGCCCAAAAAACCAACAGTCAGTCGAATTTTGGAGAACTTCAAGAACAAAAATCAAAGACAAATCGACGAGTTGAGGCACGAGAAGAGCGACCTTCACGACGAATTGCCAGTTTCCTCATGCTGATGTCCATTGATGTTCAACACGTTTATCTAATAGTCTATTCAGGAGTGACGAGAGAGCAAAATACCGGCAGCTTCAGACGGAATTCGGGGTTTTTGGGAGAACCTTTTATGAGATTTTGAAGAAACAATTCAGAAATAAAGAAAAAGATAATGTGCAATTGTGTGTTTTCAGAAGATTGAATAAAATGGGATTTATTGGCTTTTACCCACAGAAAAGTACACAAGACATTTATCAGAATTGAGAGCTCCTTTTGCAGATAAAACGAGACTGATAAGTAGGAGAATATGTCACCCATTCCCCCTCGAGACTCCGAAGCTGAAATAAGTTCATTTCTGATGGAAATCCTTTGGTGAAACACTCTGCGTTATTTCACAAAAAAACTCCTAAGATTGATCAAAATGTTTTGATCAATTTTAATTATGCATTGGAAATTGGAATAAATATTGATGATTTCACGTCGAAAATCTCACCAAAGCGTGGGTGTACGAACGCCGGTGTCGCCGACTCCAATTAATGAAATCCACCGAACTTCCATCCTTCCATTCAAAAGCATTTCCTTCATTTCTCTGAATAAAGAAATCTTTATGTTTAGACATTGATATTTCGATCCGATTTTACTTTCTTATTATTGAAATTATGCTAGTTTCCTGGTTGAAACCATTATTTCTATCAAGGAACTATCAGTCGAACGAATCTTTTTTTACAAAGAGCCTTCTGCAAATGGCTGAAAGAATCTGAAAAAATAAAAGAATTACTTTTTATATATTTATTTATGTCTTTCAATAAGAAGAATTCAACCTTCAGTCCGATCCAGAAGTCAGAATCCGAATTCACAGTTTTCGCTGAAATAAATATCGATTATTTTTGGTTTATAAAGCATAAATTTCTACGAAAATCATGAATTTTCAGAATTGAATCATTTCGATTTCTTACCGCGTTCCTGAACAAAATCGTTCTCTTCCCTACTGTGAATTGAGACTAAATGGCCCCTTTGACTCGCACAAAATGCCTCGGCTTCATCAAATGTCATTTCTTGCTCGATAACCTTGAGATGAAGATAATCCCGGCTCATAACATCCACCAAACCTTGTACGAAGAAGCGGTTTTTGCCAAATACCACCATCCATCCCGATACAGATCCAAGAGATCCATGGTTCGATTTCTGAATTTCTTCGGAAAACATTAGGCCAGATCCTTTAGACAAATACTCAATCAATTTCCTTGAGAAAACGCATAAATCTGCCCGGGACCTCTTGATTTCGGCCATTTTGTTTTCTCTTTTAAATTGTTAAGAGGGGAATTGATTGGATCGAGTGAAATGGGTGTTTTGGGAGTCA